CTTGCAGCACAATCGTGCTTCCATGCAGCACAGTCGCGTTTCCATGCAGCACAGTCGCGTTTCCATGCAGCAGAGGTGGCCCTTATCGGCCACCGTACATGTCAGTGGGATTGAAGCATGTGCATGGAATACTTGTTATCATTGATCATGTTTTTAATTTTGTTATGTTAGGCCTGTTTTAAACGTCGCGCTACTCATGTGCCGAACGCATTAGAAACAATAGATAATATATTAATGAGGCATTTCAGCTGACTATCTATTGTTTTTAATGCGTTCGGCACATTGAATTGGCTATTAAGGGACCGGGTGCATATGTTAAATATTAACTTATTAAGAAATTAAAATATCTTTGTTAGGCCCGGTTTAGACGCCGTGCTTTTCATGAGCCGAACTTAATTCATATTTTACTCGAGTAAAATAGGCGTACTTACAATTTTGATTTAGACAGGCGTGCTTTTCATGAGCCGTACTTAATAATTTGCGCTGCTTCACTTCGAAACCTGGGGCGTGCGACATTTCATAATAGAACAAATTACAGAAATACAAAACAAGCTGCGGAAGTGAGAAGGTTTTTGTATTTTTAGTGTGAAGTTTCACTTCATCAACTGTTGTGATGGCTGGCAAATTCACACGAATCAGTCAGTCAGTCAGTCAAACAGTCAGTCATAGAGTAAACTTTCCGGGGGGTGCATACGATTTATGTTCGTAGTGATTTATTGTACTTAGTCAGTACTTTGAAGGTTATTTAAGCAATTTCAGTTAACTTATTTACATATTCTGTTATCCTTTTGCCAAGTTCACAAAAATTTCGAGGGATCGCTTTTGTTATTGTAATTTTTTTTTGAATTTTAGAACATACGCTTCTCATGTTGTGTAAAGGATCTTTACCCCGGAACACCCGATTTTTTCTTTAGTAGCGCAAATGCGCATGCGCTATCAAGCCGTAGATCACGATGGCGTGACGGTATGCTAGGAAGGAGTGACAGTGTTGTTTTGAGATCTTATGCATTACGGGCGTTCAATTAAGTGCCGATAATATTTAGACGGTATATTCATTATACAGAGCTAGGAAGGAGCTAGACCGCCTAGACAGTGCAGTCAAGTCTATAAATATTTCAGACGTAAATATTGAGTGGAAAATCTTTGAGATTCTAGGCATTCAATTGAATGCCGATATTATTTTCACGGCATACTCATTATACAGAGGTACAGTACGTAGGCAGAAGCGAGGCAGTGTTGTTTTCAAGTATATAAACATTTCAGACATGAATATTGAGAAAATCTTTGAGATTCTACGCAATAATACAATATGTAAATGTATGTTAATATGCATTACTGGCATTCAAGCAGGCGCGGATCCAGACCGTGGCAAAAGTGGCTCGAGCCACGGTCAGATTTTTCCCACCTAGGATTTTCCGGGGTTCACCTTTGTTGGATACTACATTAGACTGCATTACGCATTTTTAAGAAGTATATATTAGTTACTTGAAATACAGCAAAATTGAGCAAATATAGGTCTATAGCAAACAATTTGAATAATATCTTTTGTAATTGTTCTCATATTACAGTAATATGTGCTAAAAGCAGGAAAAACTTCCGAAATATATTCCTTGTTCAATAGTATAATTATCCAGTTAAACACTGAACTATAAAACCCGCCGAAAGCGTGCCGAATTGTGCCGAATATGTTCGGAAAACAGTCGTAAATTCGAAGCTGCGATCACAGCCACAAAATGCCACGGTCAGCGTGCAAAAAATTGCGCAATTGTTACTAAATATAGTAACTTTCTGCCACGGTGCAGCGTTGCAAACCAATCACAGGGCAAGTTCTGACTCTTCCACAGTCCCTCGTTATATTTTAGTACGGGAGAATATGCCCGTTCGCGGGTTAGGCGTTGACAGCACACGTCGGAAATGCGAGGGACTGTGGAATCGTGTGTCGAAAAGTTGGCAGAATAGTCGAAAACTCGGCAATCGGGCAAAATTGACATTTTTCTCAAATATGAATGAATTTTTGGACGAAAGCGGGACGATGTAGGCTTTAGAAAACTCTTGGATGGATTTAGTGTGACCCTAACCCCGAATTAGATGTCTAAATGGAAAATTTATCTCTTTCTGACGTAAATTACGGTGAGTGCTGATAGCTTGTTTATAATATGAAAGCCTCGATGAAAGCCATATGTTGGCGGATGTGCCATGGATTATATCCTTATGTGTGTCTTAAAAATATGAACAATTAGCGACTAGGTATATGATAATTGTAGTTGATCAAGTAGTAATTTTGCACACACTTTTTTAGATATAGATGACATAAAAAATTTGCTTTCAAACTTGGAAGTCTCTGTTTTGGTCCTCAATAAAATATGGGAAACTATCCTATCCACATATAAATATGCCTGTGGCGATATATCTGGTATTAAAGCTAGCTGAGTATATACATCGTAATTGGTAACTTGATGGCTGTTGCTTTCGTGTATTAATGGCTGGGTGTCTTGTTCAACTGGTACACTTTGGAAGTACTACATGTTTATAGAAAAATAAAATTATATTTAATAAATATTTATTCAGTTTCTAACACATAAATAAAATATAATACAATGGTAGGTTAAAAAAATGCTGTATATATTGTTGCAAACTAAATAAATCAATCTATTATAGAGCTACACCAGATTCTTGCTGTTAAATGTTATACTTTCTTTAATTATGTCATTGGCATTAATTGCAACAAATACCAACAATGCAAAAACAAGATACAAATTGTGCATTGACCAGTATTTAAACAGTGTACTGCATTGACTAATAAAAAAAGTTATTTGATAAACTTATCTGGTAGTAATTTACTCTGTCTAACATAGTTCGGAAAGGGTCTGTATTATATCTCCTATTTTATAAATATTCCCCCTATTACAGACTGCTAATAACCTCTTTCAGAGAGCAAAATTTGACATTTGGACTTGTAGTTTAATTAATTAAAAACCACTTGTTCTGTAATTTCTACGATGGTTTTCTTATCACGCCCCTCTTTAATTAACACATCCTCTTTTAGTAACCTCCCCCCCCTCCCCATAACAAAACATAACATTTTTTCATGGTTTATCCTCTTGAAGCAAGGAGGTTTTAAACTATGTCTAATCAAGGATGGATCCAGCATGATTTAGTAGGGGGGGGGGGGTGCTCTACCAGCTCTGGTGCTGAGTTGTGTCTGTCATGTGTGCCGCCAGCCCATCAACTTGCTTCACTACTGCAAAGTCTTGCTTCACTACTGTATTTGAATTGTTGTGCACAGTTCGCTTATCATCATGTTATTGCTCAAATTACTGTATCTCATTTTGTCTCTAATATTTTTTCCCTTTATCATGAAAAATAGCATGCCCCCCCACCCTCTGGCCAGGGTAGGGGGATGCACCCCCACTCCCCCAGTAAATCCTTCCCTGTGTCTAATGGCTATGTTTTTGTTTGTCATACAAATCCACACAAAAGTCTATATTCCTCTTATTAACATTATGGTTGAACATAGACTATCACACTGATAACAAAGTAGCCTGCCTCGCAGACATCCTTAAATGGCTCAGAGCCATAAGGATGTGTGTGAGGCAGGCTAATAACAAAGCTATGGCTAAAGTTATATAAGCCACTGCTAGCCAGAGAAATGTACTGAAAAAGAAGGAGAGTGCTATTCTTGACTTGTAGCTATGTGGGCTGAATCATGTTGGTGCCATTTTTTCAAAAGGATCTCGTTATCTTTCATTGAATTTGGCACCAAAATGGCAGCTGTTAATTGTCTTCTAACTCTCAAGGGTTGGTTGCAAGTCAAGAATACCAAGAATAACCTCTGACTATAAGCCCTTGGCTTATATTCTTTTTAAGCAATTTTTGATGGGCTTATACAGTACATGGGTGCTCTTTTCAGTCTTGTGTTAGTATATAATAAACAAGTCAGTCATAAACAGGAAAATAAACATGTATTAATAACAAATAAAGACAATGAGTGGGGGTTATATTCAGGGGGGGGGGCAAGCTGTAACAAATTTGAGCTATTCTAGGTTCATATTTATGTCTCAATTTAAGTTTATCTTTGTAAAAGAGCATTCAACCACAATAATGTTCCCTTCAATGTTTCCATGTGTTGCATCCATTGTTTGTTTGGTATACCAACTGATATTTTGCATAGATTATTTTGGTCTGCATTTCCAAGAATTTATTACTCCGTAAATTTTGGAAGCTTTCCTTGCATCTTCAGCAAATACATTAACATCTTCCCTGGAAACTTTGAACCAACATCCACTCAATACCTAATAGTTGTAAATCAACAAATATTAAAATATGTGCATATTTTATGATTTTTATCCCCCGCACAAAAATATTATTAAGGACGCAAAAATTTGCTAAACAAGCATTCTCAACTGTAAAAGAAATTATTCATGATATTAACTCGCCTTTGATTTTTTCTCATGCTGATATTGAATATATCACAACGTTTCTTCGCCATACAATACATGCGTTTCAATGTCAATGTCGAATTTTTAAATTAATATCTTGCAGCGTGATATTTTTCTTATGAGTCACACGAAAATGTTGCGGTAATCCATTTTCTTAAAAAAATAACACATTTCCCACACATTCTAACTGGATAGACAACTTTATGCACCATGAAACGCCTTCGAGAAGTTTTTCGCTCCTTGGATATAGCGTCCGCCATTATGTATGGACGCCATCTTGAATACAGGATTTCCCAGTCGCTCGGAAACCTAACCCATTCCCATGATCCAACGCGAGCGACTGGGAACGAGTCAGGCATCTCACTCGAACCATGGATTACTAATGAAGATGAGTTTTATCAGATATAAAGTCACTCCACGTGACATATTATGGCTGACATGATTTGCCACAAGGTTTATGAATCATTAATGATATTTTAAATACATTTTGACCCAACCAGGAACAGTTGGGAGAAATGCAAGTACAGGTCACAGAGTAGATAAGACATACAGAGACGTAACTGACCGTTGTAAACACTGCGGAAGATTACGTTATCATGTACCCACTTTTTTTCAGGCGACCGGGCGAAAAATGATCAACTGCGCGTGCTCAGCAAGTTTAAAGTGAGTCGTCATCAGGTCGTCATCCAATCAGATGCATGCATCTAGTAACTTGCCGAGCATGCACACAAAAAAAGTGGGTACACCAGTTACGTCTCTGTATGTCTCTACTCTGTGTACAGGTCCCTGGCACGAATCGAACCTGCCATTCCGGTGCACTGCGTTCTAACCAACTGAACTACAGAGACCAGTTGTCGAGCTCTAACCACAATTATAGGGTACTGTCCGTACTGCCATGTTTAGGTTATGACTACTTATGCATTCTCCTCCGCAGAGCCTTACGAATTTTTAGTAAAATTGCGTAATATTAAGGGGGGGGAGGACAAATTACGCAAGGTATGATGGGAAGACGGAAGCTACGTAAGGCTCTGCCATATAATGTTTCCAAAATGGTAGTGATGGGCGATACCAGGATTTTTATTTCGATACCGATACCGATACTTTTAAGATCGGTATCGGCCGATACCGATACCTATTTCGATACCAAAATGAACACAAAATTTCAATTTTCGATACCGGAAGTGAGTACTTAAATTGCTAGTATCGGCTACTTTTGATACCTGCCGGTCAGCGGAAAAACGCACCACATTTAGAATATTAAGAGTTATTCTAGTGGTTCATTAAGTCTTATTCAACCAAGAAGTGAAATTAAACAAGTCGTTTACAAAAGGGTGCAAGTATCGAACGATATCACGTCAGTAATCGATACCGATACCGCTGTTTTTGGTATCGCTGGTATCGAATACCGAGTACTCGGTATCGCCCATCACTACAAAATGGCGTCCAATTACAGACATAAGAATATTAAATTACTCATGAATTATTCATGAAGACAAATAGGCCGTTTCAGGATACAAACCAAAAGTTTGCGATGAATTGGTTTGCTCAAAGTGCATTGAGAACAACGAGGAAGTTTTTTGACGATGTTGGACCGAAGAAACGTTTCAAAGTTTATATAAATAAACATCGCTCCTTGAAATTCAATGACAGCATATGCACTCTGGGTGAAACGCTGCACGTAGTGAGACTAGTGAAACAATTGTCGAATCTGCGATTAGAGACGGTATGTAAATATTAAATATATTATTTTTGATTGAATAAAAATACAAAGTATATGTACTATAAAGTATGTATTCATTGCTGTGTCCCCAGTGTATATGTATTTGATTTGGAACAGTGTGTACTTTTTATAATTTGCAACTCTTGGATGAACCTAGTTGTTGCAAGGTTGTTGCCTTCTTGGTAGCATAATAAATGGCCATTTATACCACCCAAGGTTTGTAATGTTTGTGTGAAATGTTTACATGCACTGAACTCTGGTGGCTTATATTATCAAAGGTGGCCCGCAGTTATTGGGAGTATAATTTCTGTTGCGGTAACCCTGCCACTTGTACTTTATACATACATATGTATGTCTGTTTATTTGATGTACTTTATACTGTATCATGGCAAAGCTAATGGGTCATTCCAGAAAACATCCATACCACCCCCAGAGAGGGAATTGTAACCCCCCCCCCCTATTATCAGAAACAATTTTGTCTCCACTGCAAAAATTTCCTCTGTGAGGGGAGTGTGGATCTTTTCTGGAACGACCCAATAAATGAGTTCAAAACTTTCACTTTGGAAATTTTAAAACAACAAATAACAATAATTAATTAGATTTATCATTATAATTGCCAGGTGAACCTATAGTAGTGACTATGGTAACATACAAATATCTTAATTATTCTACAGAATAATTCCATGGATGATGTGTCAATCTAGTATGAACTAATGTACACAGAATACAAAGTGTCATTTGGCAATGATATAAATTGTTCCAATGATGCCATTACTGTTGCCACCAAAAGTTGATGAGAAACTGTTGAAAGTGGAACATTGCCTACAACTCCAGAAAGAATTTCAATGGACGGTGCTGTAAACTAGAACTTGGACATTGAAAGTTTAGACCAGGACAATAGGCAATTCCAGCTTTTAGTTTATGCGTGCAGGGGACGATGGGAAGTAAGGTATCACATTGCTGATTATGCTGAAAAAATAAAAATGGTGGCCGTGTAAACATGGAGTGATAGCTTATACTTGTAAATATTGAAATATTTTTGTTGCTTCGGTAGTTTTTATTGAAAATTTTCAGCATAATCAGCACTATGATACCTTACTTCCCATCATCCCCTGCAGGCATAAACTAAAAGGTGGAATTGCCTATTTGATGCTATTGAAGCTCTTGTATCCAGAAAAGATATCATTGTTCATTGTTGTGGTCCCAACTGGATTCCAAAACAAAGGCATCTGTTTGAGTTGATTAATTAGGTATATCTACATAAATTAAAAAAAAAACAGGAGTTATCCAAACTGACATATTATATAGGTGCAAAATATTGAATGTAGTTCTGACTGGCTATTTCTAGCACAAGTATATCAGACCATATTTAATGTATCTTTGTGATTGGTTAATCCTAGTTATATAATACTATGTTAATATTGGTTAATCCTAATTATATGATACTACTATTATATATTTAGCAAGTTGTAACTTTAATTAGATTGTTGTTTTTATATGAAATTGACATTTCTCCCTGGACATTTTGATTTGATACTTTATACAAAAATATACTTGAATGGATAGCAAGGTTTGTGTCAGGCTCTATTTGTAAAATAGAGAGAGCAAGATGCAGAAACAAAAATGGGATACAATTGTAAAAACATTCAACAATTACATATTGGACGAGGATGAGCATGATATCAAGAATTATCCAGACCTTCGGCAGATAACATTGACCGGTCTTGATGTCATGCGAAATCCAAATTCAATAATTGTTTCATTATGCAATTATGATGTTATTATAATGGCAGGGAAGAAAACCTTGTCAGGTGTCTCATTAAAAAAATCATTGATAAACATTGAGGATTGTCTGTAGTTCTTAGCCAATCACAATTGATTCTTTTGAGAATCCAGCAAGATTTCTGGCCAACGGTGTACTGACACAACATTGAATAACCATAATTTTATAATTATATATTCTCCAATTCTCGTCATACTGTTATTGTGTGAAAGAGAAACTACATCAATTTATTAGTACTTTGAACTGGTGCTAGATGCTGACTTGAATTCCAAAATTTAATTTAGTCTAAGACGATTTCTAGATTAGATATATCGCTATAAAAAAACATCTTATGTATCAATCCGTCGTATATTTAAGCCATCCTTTGTGAATCCTTGCTGCTTTTATATAATTCTTACTGGCAATGTACCAAATATGGTATTTTAAACTTTATTTGTTGATTTCGGGAGAGATAAAAACAATAACAAAGCCATGATACTATGATCGACGTATACTGTCGCTATACAGATATGTAAAACATGCCGTCAATACCGGCAAATGCGACATAAATATTGTATAAAATTCATTCAACTTACCCTCGATACTTAAATTGTGAAGGGAAACTTCTAAAATGTCCACATCGCTGCTTTCCGAGTCGTTTTCTTGCCTTATTTCAGCCATACCCGAGAACCGCAGAATCAACCCGAGAAACGCGCATTATATGGCAGAGTCTTGATTACATTTTCTCAACCATCGATCTCACCCCCCCGTCGCGCACCACTAAATATCCTCTACTATCCCTACAAATCCTATATAATTCAGACTCTGCGGAGGAGGGTGCTACTTATGGGTAAATATCGGGATTTTGTTGGCATCTCACTCGAAGCAATAATTGTTGAAACTTGAAGAGTCTTGTAGGTGGAAATTATTGAGTGGAAAATGTATGTAAATTTAGTCTAGCCTGCATGTGTGCAGCCTCAACCCGAATTCGTGTTTAGCCTCCTGCCTCCTCCGCAGGCCCTCGTTGTGTCATGGGAAGGTCACGATTTCGAGAGGGCTTGCGGAATCTTGTAAAATGAACAAATGTTGTTTTGAACCTGCTTTGTTAAAGAAGGCAGTTTTATTCTTGCAACGTTGGTGTGGACAACAAACCTTATCGTTAAAAAATGCTTCCTTCCACGTCCTAAGAGTCGCCAGTTTAATTTACAAGTTTCACGCCGCTTTTTTATATCTTGTTTATATTCAAGATTATGTAGAAATTTACTTGCCGACGTGACGCCGGCGCCATTTTTTTTACAAGATTCCGCAGGCCCTCGCCAGATCGTGACCTTCCCATGACGCAACGAGGGCCTGCGGAGGAGGCAGTTTAGCCTCCTCCGCAGGTAACTTCGTTGAACCTGTTGGGTTCCCAGGGGCGGCGGAATAACGCAATATTTATTATTTAGCAACATATTTTTCGTCAAGAACTGGGTGGTAATAGGGGACACCAAAAGGATTTAGAGTTGATGAGACGGATTATGAGGGATCTCCTTGCAATCAAGTTTTTGATCGAAGTTTGCCGCAATTGAGATTTAACAAAATTTTGCCGTTTTAGGAATCCAACTGGTCCATACATGCGATCATGGCCGAATGGCCACATACGAAATTGTATTGAAAGTTGCAGCAAAAAGTACATCGTGCAGTAACATGGCCGTAAAGATTATTACGCTTTCCCGAATTCTTTGACGCTTACTCTTGAATTTTCACGATACTTTGCTGTGGTTTTAAGCGTTGCAAACGAGTACCTCTTGTAATTTAATTGCACCCAAGGACAGTGTGTGTTCAGCATGGCTGCTGTTAGGGAGCTATCGAGCGACGCTACCTCCATAATATACTGTAAGGGGCCAAATTCAAAATGTGCACTTCAAGACTTGGAATTCTGGAGTTACAGGCAAACTCCAAACATCACACGGACGCAGTGGAGCTAGCCGCTTTGTGGAGCTTGTTAGATAACCCTGGAGGCAATGCCTGTGCTGGCGCCAAAAGCAGCTACCACCACAAAAACAAATCTACAGGCAAGGTATTCACCACTGTTATTCACTCAGCGAAATATATCTTGAGTAATTCGGTTTCGTATAAATAGACTGCTTCTCGTCTTTGTCCCCATTTAAATAAACAAGCTCTCCATAAGAGAAGCGTTTTTGTTAAGAATAGCGAGATACTGTATTCGTATTTCAATAAAGCACAAAAACTGTTTAAAAATCGTGAACCAGTAAAATTGTATAAAACAGTAGATCGTCCATCTTTTTACTCACTATATTTAAAATTATCGTGGAAACCATGCTGTCTATCACAGTCTATGCAATATATGGAACACTATGAATTCCAAAGTACAAGCTATTTTTATATACATGGTCAATACAACATTACTTTTGATTCTTCAAAATACGGACTCGAAATGAGTCGGATATATATTCATCTGTAAGGGAAAATGGAAGAGTAGAGACTCGTACTGTAAGTCGTAAAGGCCGTAAAGTCACTCGTATTAAAATGTCAGTCAAGGTGATCGGAGTAATTGTTTTATTTGTTTACCACATTGGTACTTTATCTTTTGCTTGACATTCTTTAATTTCTGTTCGAGATTCAAATCAATCTGGGCAAGAGATTGGATTCAAACAAATATATTTGCGAGACCGTGACATTGATTAAAATGGCGATAAAAGCGTGTGTACAATTGTACATATATAGACTAGGCTCAGTTGTATGAATAACAATGGCTTTATTAATTGAACAGTTGCCTCTGCAGAGGAGAACAGTTTAGATCTTATTAGCTATCCAGTGTATGGTAGATATAAAGTTAGATTACTTTACAGTGAGGCGTCTTGCTTACCTTCGACTTGATACCATTTCCCCAGATCCACATTCACCCTTGCTTTCCCAGCCCGACGAGCATAGCAGAAAACGTTGAGTTGTCGAGAATTTACTTTCTTAATATCAAATTTACAGCCTCCTACTGCTACCGCATTTCTATCGCAGTATAAAACAGTGATTTTATTCTCGTGATAATCTGTAAACTTTGAATTAGAGTCGGTTAACGCGATACTACAAAGTAGTACTTTCTCTCCACAAGTTACTGTTCGGCTATGGTGTTGAATCTTCACTTTGTCTGCATAGAAGCTACACAGCCATCTTGTTACAGCCTCCATTTCTTTGTAGTCAAACATATACTTGATGATGAATAATTTATTTGCCCGTGAGGCACATGACAGGTAATATGATATACATAATATACTTTGAAAAATATGTGTATTTTGTAAAACAAATCGATGTCGAAAACGGAGGAAAGTATTGTTCAAATTTACCACGCATTCTAATTCAAGTTTTACAGCTCGAAGGGACACGAAATTTAACATATGAAAGGATTGTAATTTTATAATATAGCAATTCTGATAGGGTTAATATTACGGCACACTCGGCGAAATAGTTAGCCGTGCCTTATTGTTGCGAGCAATTCCATAGCTTGATGAAGGCCCGTTGAAATTTTTCGATTTTACATATAATATCAATTCTCATTGGTCAGAAATAGACCATGGCACGAGTTCAGGTTCGAGTTCTGAAATTCCTTAATTTTCCCAGAATTATTATCACTTTTGATGTGAATTCTGCTCAATGACCAGGAGCTTTACCGGCTGGCTTTCGCCGGTTTGGTCTATTTTGGGCAAGCTCTCGTGTGAAAAAACGCTGAAAATAAAAATAGCAGGCCTAAATCTAGCTCTGATCTAGGCTGAAGTCACATAGTTGTTTGGACCTTTTACGTTGGCAGGCAATTATAGAGCACAACTTTACACGCAAGAATAGGCTTCGCCTCGGACTGAACTAATTGCGTGGGCTGAATATCTGGTAAAGTGCGCATAGTCGGATTTGATGACATCTCATAGGAATAAGTCACGACTTAAAGTGAGGTGAATTAATTTTTATCCAGTCCAAAAACTGAATTAATTTTGACCCAGTCCTAGGACTAGACCAATATACTTCACCAGGTATCAAGCATTATCACGTGAACAAAACAAAGTAACATGGTTGGCTAATTTATTCACGAATTATCAATGAGTTTGAGAAGTAATATTTAATTAAAATCCGACTATGAGGACTGTACTAGATTTCAAGTCCGCGCAATTTGATCAAGTTCAAGGCGAAGCCGAGGACTGGAGCGGACTTAAAATCTAGTCCAGTCTTGAATTGGAGGATTTGAAATGACATCTCATCCATTCCAAGGACTGAATTAATTTTGATCGAGTATTCCAGGTATCCAGTATTATCATGCGAGCAAAATAGAGCAATAATATGGTTGGCTAATTTACTCATGAATTATTAATGAGTTTGAGATAACTAATTCTAATGGTCTAGACCTTACCTATGTCCTGATATAATCCATTTTGAGCTTAATCAATACATTAATTAAATCTAACCAAAATCCTTAAAATGGTCGAGTTCTTTCACTTCCTGGAGAAATTTCTTCTCCCTCGTACGTGATTGGTGAAATGTTCACGCTCGTGGACACGGCCGTCCAAGCTCAATACACTTTTCACAAAGTTCTTCAAGGTGTTCGGGAATTCGCCGTTGGTTTCTTGAAACAATATTGGGAGTGTACCTCTGCTGTTTTCTTGTAGAACGTTGCTTGAGCGGGTAGCATCTCTTTAGTAATCGTTTCTTCTCGTAGCAGTCGTAACAAGCTTGCCACATGCCAACCCAACTTCGACCATTTCGCCATCTCTTATCACATTTGTTGCAATAATACTCTCCAAAACATGGCTCACTCCCGGCATACTCTTCAAATGTGACCACCAAAGCTCCTTTGTTAACTGGATAAAATTCCAACTCTCTTTCTCTTAAGTACTCTTCAACCTTTGGTCGGATTCTTTGCCGCACTTTAGAGTTTTGCCGTACTTTAGAGTGATGACCAGAACCAACGATGATCTCAAGCCATGGCTCGCCCTCTTCTTTGGCTTTTTCCAGGTCATACTTATCAAGCCTTTTTCGCAATTTTCTATGGTTGCAATAGTGAAAAGAATTTCAACTAACAAAGCTGTTAAAAGGGGCAGAGGGCAATTTCCCCTGGTTCCCACATGAAAGTGACCCCATGCAGCTGGAAATGGGATCCAAGTTTGGCCCTCTTCTAGATATCCCTCTCAAGTTGGGAATTCTTCCCAAGTAAGATCTCCTGAACTTCCTCGGCGCCTAGCTAGTAAAAGAGCTCTCACTAGACCATTTTCGACTATACTTCAGTCTTTGGACAGAAAATAGAAATGAGAGGTATCGTAGAGATCATAATATATGGGTTGGGCAATTTATCAGTTGATTAATTTAAATTTATCAGTTGATTCATTTAAATCAGAAGGATTAATAAATTTGTGAATTTATTATTGTAAATTAATGTAAATAGTATTTATTAGGTAATTTGATTATGTATTGTATTTTAGTTGTTGCACGGCTCTTTGAAAACAGGGAACTGAAAGATCACCGTGCATGTAAATAATAATAATAATAATTATAATTACTGAAGCCCGAGAACACCGGACGGGATTCGACAACACGGCGCGATTTTTCAGTTTTTGAACGGTTTATAATAAGACAGCCAATGAAAGTAAATTTTAAAAGATGTGTAGACCGAATAACTCAAAATGTTATAGCGCTTCTAAATATTTAGAAAACTTAAATGTTATCGGTCAACGAAAATCGAAAATCGCACCGCGTTGGCGAATCGCATCCGGTTTGTCTTAGTTAAGCTTACGGACCGAAAGCTTTGTGAATAAACACCCCTGGCATTTTCCAGGGACTATGTCAAATTTTACAAATATATATTATATATCTGCGGTATAAATAGAGGTTAAGAGAGTATATAAATAAATACCTTATAGCCTCATTGCCATGATCGCGTTCTTTTTCGATTTTACTTTGCACTTGGGCCAAACTCATGCGATCTCTAGATCTGCGAAGAAGTTGCCGCTCATAATCCCGGAGCTTTTTGTCATCCACAACCAACAATCCATGAAGATCAATCTCACTCTGATCACGTTTAGCATTAAAAAACTCAAAAAACTCGTCACATGCAGCATCGTGATATGTTCCCATAAGTCTGGCGTATTTTTCTTTGATTTGGCTGCAAAAATGAGGAACGTTTTTGTCAATATTTTCTCCTTTTTCAATTTTGTTGTAATTTTCACTTGCCCTCTCTTTCCAATCTTCTCGTGCCTCATCTATTTTAAACGCCTCTTTGCGATAATAGGTAGCCCTAATAAGATGCAACAAAATGTTCCGACATTTCTGTATTTTATTTACGATTTCGTGAAGAGGAATTTCAACAACTGTACGAATGAGATCTGCTCTAATTGTTGCATCGACTGGATAAGTTTCATCAACTTTGGGATCGTTATCCAATTCGCAAACTCTCTTGATATTATTCAAGTGAGCATAATCACTTCCAATGATGTCGTTTCTCTTAACACCACAGCAAACAATGCTTACAAATGCGTGACTTCTATACACAACACAGTTCCTATCATCATCATGCTTCTCAAATCCTCCAAATGTTGGCAAAATCAAGGGGTTTTCAATTTTCTTGCCATTTACAAAGCACCAAAATCTCGGACTTCGATCATCTTTCACAAGATTCCCCAATGGAACAACAATATTGTAGGATCCAACATCGTTCGGACAAGAAGAGACCTCTATGTTCTCCACCTCGGTGTTACCATATCTCACTTTAATACAATCCTTTGCTATTTTTGTGTCATAATCATAACCAAGTACGTCTTTCAGTCTCAAGCAACATTGAAATGTTTCGTCTTCGGGAAACACAGGTTGATCTGGAATCTCATCATATTCAGGTATCCATTCAATGGTTGAACGGTGATAATCTAAAGGAGCATCCTGTACAGTGATCGAGAAAAAAGTACTCTCAAGACAAGTACCATCTCGTTCTGCTAAACAAAGATCGTATCTCCCTGTTCGCTTGAAGTAGCAACGAATTGCAACTTCGTTGTTGGATTCTCCTGGAAAACGCAATCCATCAGGCCCATCCCTCTTTATAAGCTGCGGGATATTTTCTAATGCATCAGTCCGTACTTCATTATTAAAACGATCAAACAAGCGCAGTGTTAAGATTAATCTTTCTCTTCTATAAGCAGTTTTTGGAGCAGCGAACTCCCAGTGGCAGTGCATATAATTTTCATCAGGATTGACTTGAATGCTTAACTCTTTTGATTTATTATCCTTGTCATAGATCCTCACTTTTCTACGACCAGCTTTTGTTAGGACGATTGAAACGCAAATTACAACATTCGATTCGTTCTTGGTTTTCTTGTTCTCATTCAGTGCGAAAGGTAAATTTCCAATATCTCCGGTGAGATTACAATCAGTAGTCGAGTCAGCAGGCAAGGGGAATCCAAATACATCACGTGGACGAATTTCTAACTGGATTTCTTCGCCTGCCATGCAGGTTTCGGGATGAAGGAATTTCGATCCGGCCAGGTACAATGGTGCGTCATTGACTTGTATTTGAATCTCTTGCAAACGGACTACTTGATTATGATTGTTCCTATTGGTCAGAGTTATTGCTAGATTATATTTCCCAGCCTCAATAATCTTCAATTGTACTCGAAGCATTTTATTTCGAAATTCCACATCCTGGTATTCCATTTCCATCACATTTCCCTCATCGTTGAACAACTGTAAACCAATGTTGTAGTCATTACTCAGTTCACGGACAACATTGTTGTAGCGATCAACCATCTCCGCCTCTAAGATTGACCACTGGTTCCTGTACACGACTGTAGGATCCGCGGAAAAACTTTCATCAATTGCGCCATGTGTTGTAAATCTGACATCATTAAAATGATCTGGAGTGGAGGGAAAAACTTTGACATTAATGTATTTAAAACTTGACTCAGAACCAGAGTTCACGATCAGTCTTAGTTTTCTAAAGCCAGCTATTTTAAAACCAACTGTGACAGCAAAACTTATATCCTCAAGTTTACTAATCTTGCTGATATTCACTTGCTCTTTTGTCATAGTTGCTTTGGGAGAAGATACTTGAACATCCATGTCGCATGTTTCTTTGGGATCTTGGAGTACAGGGTTTCCAAATACGTCGTATAGCTTTACCTTGAAAGTGAACTCCTTGCCAGCCGTACAACGTTGTTCACGACTGTCATCAAGGAAATTTAGGGTTAGGGAGGGCGAACAAGGTGGATGATGGATACTAATGGGTATTTGGAAGGTGTAGGTCGATTCATTCATTGAATTTAATCTCTTAAGCCTTATAACCATTTGCTTTTCTCCAATCTGCTTTGGTAAAAAAATCGCACAAATTTTCCCACTTCTCATTTCCCATTCCAAGTTGTTATACGAGTACTCAATTTTGACATCATATAATCCGAGTGGTCGGATTACGTTTCTAAACTCGTCAACAACTTTAAATTTCAGAAACGACTCGATACCATAATACCCATAATACAATGTGCCCATTCTTTCTGGCCTATGCTGTTCGTCTACAGGCTTCTCGCAGCAGGAAACCTCGACATTTTGTAAATATTTTGGTATGGAGGGAACTATGTCAACGACTAGATCTTGACCTAAATAAAAAATAATTATTCATTACCATCTCGTGATTCCAACATTTTTCATCATATTTCATCCCATTTACCCCTTTAAAAGTTCGGAAAGATGTCGGCAGAGTAGAATGTGGGTCATGTTTTGGCTAAATATCGAGATTTTGTTGGCATCTCACTCCAATCAATAATATACTGTTGAATGATCTTGTAGATGGAAAGTATCGAGTGGAAATTTATATACCTTTAGACCTAATCAGGAACTGTTGCGAAAAATGCAAGTACGCATACAGGCAGGAATCGAATCTGCGGCCCTGCGATTCCGGTGCAGCGTTCTAACCAACTGAGCTACAGATGCCAGTAGTCGAGCTCTAACCACAAGATCTTGTATACGTCAGTCCTTCACTTCGGTGTTGTTGGGCACTCTGCGGAGTTGTTAATGGGTGTCTATTAAGCCTGGTTTCCATCATAGTTAATAGAGGAGATGGTTTGGAAACTCGTTAGCATTACAATAAAATCACAACAAACCTCATTATCTATGTTGTTCAGGTTTATGCAAAAATGTGGTCTTTCATCGTCACGTGCGTATTGTATTTTTCTCAAGTCAACCAATAGGAATGTTCAAAATGTCCTATTGTTAAAGTCATGGATGGGCAATTGGACAAAACCGTTGCTATTGGCTGGTTGAGCAAAAATACAATACGCACGTGACGATGAAAGACCACATTTTTGCATAAACCTGAACAAAAACATAGATAGTGAGGTTTATTGTAATGCTAATGAGTTTCCATACCATCTCCTCCATTAACTATGTTTCCATTAAATCGTAATTATCGCAAGAACCGCATCGCAAGCGTCGCAACGATTTTAAAAACGCGGAAATTTTAATAAAAACTGCGATTTATTGGAAACTTGAGTCACACTGATCACTAAGACTCCTACGACAAAGTCGCAAAGATAAACTTATTGCGATTTTTGCGATCGCGATGTCTGCGTTCCGCGACTATTGCGATGATTACGATTTAATGGAAACCAGGCTTTAGCGCTAATGCAAAGCTCACTTCCCTTGTGGTCGTTTGAGCACTCTGGCCCCATTACACTCTGGCATGTCTGGATGCGTTGAGTCACCGTGTTGTACCACATGCCTTGGTGACAGCGAGTTCATGAGATATAAATACGGGTGTCTCACCTATCTAGGGTACTGCCATGTACGTTTAGGTTATGGGTAAATATCGATCGAGATTTTGTTGGCATCTCACTCGAATCAATAATTGTTGAAGGATCTTGTAGATGGACATTATGGAGTTGAAAGGTATAGAAATTTCCACTCGATAATTTCTATTTACATGCAAGACATGTTTAGCCTATCCTGTGTGCAGCCTTTTGATCCAGGTTTGACGTAATTTGTACCTAGATTTAACAAAATTGTGCCGTTTTGGGGGTCCAATTGGTGCATATATGCGACTATTTTTTAATAACATGGCCCTGTATCCAAAAATCGTAATTGTACCTAGATTTAACAAAATTGTGCCGTTTTGGGGCCCTGTATTCGAAAATCGAAATTGTATTGAAAGTCATGCAGCAAAAATTGCACCGTGCAGTAACGTGGGCGTAAGGCATATACTGTAAATAATAGACATGGTCATAGAATGCGTGCTCCTATCTTTTCTCAGTAAAATTTTGTCTCCACAAGATCACAGAATAAGAAGGTACAGTAGAAGTTAACTCAAACAAGTATTTGTCCGCGTTTTTACAAGCGATTCGTCATCTGGCTAGTACAACCGGCACTTTGTACCTACCAAAACCTGATAAAAACTTCCGGTTGTACTAGCCAGGATGGCGTGAGCGAGTTAAAATTTTCGTGGACATAAAACAATAAAGGAACCGACTCAAGTTACACTTCTGCTGTACCTTCTTATTCTGTGACAAGATGGCGGATTTATAAGGGCATTTTGGCTAGTCCCAGACTCCTGCGGCAAGGAATTTTGCGCGGTTACAGGGAGTGCAAATTGCTTTTTCAACAAAATTTGCAAAAAAAAATATATCGAGACTTAAAGTGGAAAAAAAAAGCTTTGTAAAGAAGAAAAACCCATTCCAGGTCTAATATTTCTATGGCGTTCAGAGAGGGCATTCAGAGACTGCATCATACATAGATTAGTACGCTTTCCCGAATTCTTTAACGCCTGCTCTTGTATATTTTCAAGATACTTTTTTGTTGTTTTAAACGTTGCAAACAATTAACCTCTTGTAATTTAATTGCAGGGCAGTGTGTTTAGCATGCATGGCGACGCTATACCTCCATAATCTAAGGAGCCAATTTCAAAATGTGCACTTCAAGATTTGGTTGAATTAAGAATTCTGAAGTTACAGGCAAACTCTAAAGATCATACGGAGGCAGAGGAGTTAGCTTTGTGGAGCTAATTAGATAACTCCGGAGGTAATGCCTGCGCTGCAATTGCAAGCTACCGTATACATGGCCAATACAACGTCATTACTTTTGAAAAATACGGATCGAAATGAGTCGGATATTCATCGACAAGAGTCGGAAATTCATCATATCATGAGTCGGATATTTATCATATGTTCATGAGTCGGATATTCGACTCGAAATGACTCGGATATTCATCGACATGAGTCGGATATAAAGAGCAGAGACTCGTACTGTAGTCGTAAAGTCACTCGGATTAAAATGTCAGTCAACGTGATCAGAGTAATTGTTTACCACTTTGGTACTTTATCTTTTGCCTGACATTCTTTAATTTCTGTTCGAGATTCAAATCAATCTGGGTACAGATTGGATTTAAACAAGTATTTTTTCGCGGGACCATGATAAAAGCGTGCGTATAATTGTATACATACAGTTGCAACTCTCATTGCGCGAGAGATTAAGCTTGTGTGAATAACAATGCCTTTATTTGCACAGTTGCACTCCGCAGGGGAGAACAGTTTAGATCTTTATATGACCTATCCAGTATATAATATAAAATTAGATTACTTTACAGTGATGTGTTGCTTACATTCGACTTGATACCATTTTCCCAGGTCCACCTTCACCCTTGCTTTCCCAGCGCGACGAGCATAGCAGAAAACGTTGAGTTGTCGAGAATTTACTTCCTCAATACGGAATTCACAGCCTCCTACGGCTTCCGCATTTCTATGGCGGTATAAAACAGTGATTTTATTCTTGTCATGATAATCTGTAAACTTTGAATTAGGGTCGGTTAACGCGATACTACAAAGTAGTACTTCATCTCCACAAGTTACTGTTCGGCTATGGTGTTGAACCGTCACTTTGTCTGCATAGAAGCTACACAGCCATCTCGTTACAGCCTCCATTTATTTGTAGTCAAAACATATACTTGATGATGAATAATTTATTTGCCCTTGAGGCACATGACAGGTAATATGATATACATAATATACTTTGAAAAATATGTGTATGTTGTAAAACCACAGTTAGGGTAAAACAAAATCGATGTTGAAAACGGAGGAAAGTATTGTTCAAATTTACCACGCTCTTAATTCAAGTTTTACAACTCGAAGGGGCACGAAATTTAACATATGAAAGGATTGTAATTTTATAATATAGCAATTTTGATAGGGTTAATAGTACTTAGGTAACTGTAAATATGGCATTCCCATGGGTCTTTGCATTTTATTGTTCTGAGAGCATTCTAGTCATCAGGGGAATTATATTTCGGACTGATGTTGAGAGGCTGGACTAGGATGTTTTTAAAGAGTACCAAAAGAATACAGTGTCTAATAGAGGGGAAATATTCTCAACAACAGCCAACAGAAATTCGGTGCCCAAGCTCTTTACAAAGCTATTTTATAGCTGTTCAAACATTTTCAGATTATAGAAAGCACAACGTTGTAAATGAGGTTTTTGACCAATTGATCAAATGCTGACATGCAGTTTGGTCTTTTGTTGGGAATGAGAATAAAAAACCAACTAAAACAACTCTGTTAATTTCCATTTATTCTACTGCAAAACATTAACATTAAAGGGTCTTAAAGATTGGATCTAGCGTTTTGTATATAAAGCGGTGGGATATTTCCATTTTGTAAAGAACACATTTTGTGGAGATTCACCCGAAACCTATTGTTGCCGGCATAGGTGTCCCAGCAACTAATAACCAGAATAAAAATACCGAACAGTGCCATGACACAAAGTCACTCCATCAATGGTCAAACTACATAGACTGACCTCAAGAAATGAACTGGATTTGGTTCTTTGTATTTAATGTTATTTGTCAGATAAAAAGTAGCGATTTTATACAATTATATGAGGAATTGGAATAAATATGAAAATGTATTATTATCCCCGAGTATATAACTACTTATACGAATGATTGGATATTTTTGGGCAATGAATAAGCGATATTGCATACTTTTTATAAATCAATGAAAATATATATATCTTTAACAATTTCAAAATAATTCATGCACCCAAAGACCTAATTGCCTAACACACTTGGTAACCATTCATCTGATCTATATCTTTTAAATGTTTGGTTACCTCCGTTCCATTCTATGCTTAATCTATCAGTGGTAGGTAGCTTTGCATAGGAATTACATCCGAAACGGTAGGACAGGATAGAGTATCCTTTCCCGATAGTTTTCAGATCAGAAAGCATGCAATGGTGATACAAATGCGTTAGTCGATTATAGGTCTGTAGTCAAATTTTAGCTTAAATTATACACCCATACTACTATAGCATATTCCAGATTAGTGATCTATGTATTACAAGCTAAAGACATTAAAAATCAAGACATTTTGTCTTTTCGTTAAGACTGAAAATTATTAGTCTACGAGTATCTTCTATGCAAAAATTGCTTTATACGTTCAACTTGCGTTAATCGTCAAATTTTTCAATCGTCACTTTTTCGAAGGGATAAATGTCAAACAAAAATATAGAGAAACGAGTGTTACAAGGTAGTAAATAGACTAAAGTTAAAGTCGGTTATGAAATTATGAAATAC